TATTATATATAATATATACAGAATATGCAAAATATTGGAGAAAAGAATGCATGCTGTAACATTCAAATCCCCTTTGATCACATCTATCTTATCTGCTCTGCTGATACATATACCAATTAATTTCACCATCTGGAAAAATAGCATGTTATAGAGAATTACAAAGCTTGAAATTCTCCCCTTGCAAACAGCAGAAAGCTACCACAGTAAGCACCTAGGAAAGCAGCTGACTGTAGCATGAATAATGAAATTTGAATAGCCAGCCAACCTAGCTACTTCTTTCAGATTATCACATACTTCTGGACCAGTATAATATAGCAAATAACTAGCATACACAGAGCAAGCAGCTTGACAAACTGAGAGAACCAGCTTCTTGAATGTAGCTAATGAGTTGATACAAACAGAAAAATATGAATTCAACATGAAAACTGTGATGCATGTTTTCCCTGAAGTCAGGAAATAGACATATTTCAAATGCTGCCTAAGCGAGGTCCCAGTCAGTGACTGTTTCTCTCACTGAAAAAGAACAATGGAAGCAGAATTTCCCATTTGTTTTTCTCTGTTTGGGGTTATGATTATTCAGTGTTGTCTGCAAAGTGCTGGAACTTACCCAGAGGTTTGGGTATTACCAAAAGTCTGGACAACACTCAGGCACTCGGTGGAATTCTCGGATTTGTCCCGTGCGGGGCCAGGAGCTGAACCCGATCATCCTTACGGGTCCCTTCCAATTCACAATACTCTACAATTCAAAATCCTACAGTAGAAAAACCCCCTGCAAGCCACAGGTATAAACCTGGAATTTAGGAGCAGCCCTAGGTGATAAACAAGCAAAATACACCCCTGAGGAACAGAATGAGGCCAGGCTTTAGCAGAGCCCGTGTCCCTTACCAGGACAGGACGCGCTGTTCCTGCGGGACAGGGACCCCACACCGGCGGGGCGATGCCTCTGCGCCAATTTCCCCGCTGGGACAACTTTCCTGGCATTTTTACAGCCGTTCCCCTTCAGCCCGGGATAACTCTGCTGCACCCAAGGCCTGCCCGCGATGTTCCTGTGGCAGATCCAGCTGCCTCCAATGACGGGAGGCGCCAGCGAGCCCTGACAGCAGCTCTGAGATACACACAGCACAGCCCTCAAGTGCGGCAGCGGTTCTCCTCGCAATTCCAGCCGCAGAGGGTTAAAAAACCCGGGCACATTGGGAGTGCAGCGCTGGGAGGAGGCGGGAGCGGCCCGAGGGGCGGCCTGAGGGCGGGCACCCGCCCTGGCTGCGCGCATGCGCGGCGCAGCGGCAAGATGGCGGCGGCCGCGCTGTGCTGGGCGCTGAGGGCGGCTCGGCAGGTCAGGGCGACTCCCTCCCCTCCGTTCCTCTCGCCCTGCTTCCCCGCGTCTCTCCGGGGCCCTACCCGCCCGGCCGAGGCACCGGGGAGCGGGCAGGGGAAATGCGGGTGGTATTTGACCGCTGCGGGCTTGGCCTTGTCCCCGCGGCGCGGGAACATCGGTGTTATGTAGCGTTCGGTGCAGCTTGGGGCTCTGTGTGTCTCTAACTTGCTAACACTTTATATGAAGTTCAGAGTTATATATACTAATGCAGTATGGAATCTGGAAAATACGAAAGCTAAAGCTGTGAAGGCATCGCTGTTGGTCGTCAGGGAGAGCAAAGATCGGTGCTGCCCCTCGTGAGGGAGACGCGGGCAGCGATGAGGTGTGAGAGGTGTAACGTGTGACCCTGGAGTTAAACGATACCGGAGACACGGGACCCGAGGGCACGGCTGGAGCCGTGTCAGGGCAGGGTTCGGCTGGGTATTAGCAAAGGGTTTTCCCCATGCGGCACTGGAACAGGCTCCCCAGGGAGTGGTGGCGGCCCCGAGGCTGCCAGAGCTAAGGCTGTTGGGGCAACACTCAGGCAGATGGTGGGATTGAACTCGGTATTTGTCAGTGCCTTCCACCTCCGGATGTTCCATGCTGTATGAAAATAACAATTCATACTTGACTAGGGCAAACTGTGCAACGGGCGGGTATCACAAATTTTATTTTTTTGATCAGGTTCTTCCCTCGTCCTGCCCAGGGCAGGTGCGGAGCTACTATGTGGACTGGAGGATGCTGCGGGATGTGAAGAGAAGGAAGATGGCCTATGAGTATGCAGATGAGAGGCTGCGGATCAACGCCATCCGCAAGAACTCCATCCTCCCCAAGGAGCTGCAGGTACTGCCAGCTGCCTGTACCCAGCCAGGGCACAGACCCACACGTGGCTCTTGCTGCTCTGCCGTGCTCAGGGCCACGGCGGTCACTTTGTCGATCCAAATGGCTGTCCCAGGTGCCAGATGTGTTTCCCCAGCTCACAAGCACAGAATCATGTCATGTTCCATAGTGACTTCAGCCTTTTGGGGGTGTTTACAACAACAGCACACTCACCTGACTGGAGGTTGTGTGTGTTGGGTTTTTTGAAACCAGTACTTGTGTAAGCAGCATATGTATATCTAGCCCAAACCACCACTCTGTGCAATTAGAAGTATTTAATTTTACTTGCCTGATTTACAAGAATATGAACCTGCATCACAGCTGGGTGTTAAAACTGTTCAAATTGACTTCCCTGCTCTCAGCCTGCCTTACTAAGCACCAAAAAAAATTTGCCCATATCAGATTATTCCTATGTTTGATCTGGCCATACTTACACATCCTGGGAGAAAGTATATGAATTTGCTTTTATATATTCACTTTACCATTCTTTGGCAAGTCTGACTGGTGTTGGATGTCCTTATGAGGCAAAACCAATACAGAAAAAAGCCCCAAAAGAAGATTCTGTAACACCTTCCAAAGAACCCTATTGAAATCCCTTTTACTGACATCAAAGCGTTCTACCTCAGCAGGCAGTTAATAAACAACATAAACAACATATTTAAATTCAGCTCATCTGAAAGGACTGCAACGAGGAGAAAGTAAAAAAAGTATTTGGCTAACTATAATTCCTGGTTTGAGGTTATTCAGTTATAAGATTAAATCTTGTGTCTCTTAGAGGGCTAGCCCACCCTAGAACAAGGACAGAGACAATCTGATTTGACTGGTGGCTTGAGATAGTTCTGTCTGTGTAGGTAGGATTAATTTGGGGGTCTCCATGTGGATCAGTTTACATTTGCTGTTGGAATGCCCAGAAAGGGTGGGCTGAGTGAGGTGAAAGCTCCCAGTTAAACAGCAAAGCTTATTCACGAGGTGGTAGAGAAACTCCACTCTGGATTTTGAGGTGTGGCAGCAAGGCCCCTCTAAATCCTGGGAACACAGATAAAGCTTTTGTGCTGTTCTGTTCTAGGAAGTGGCGGACAAAGAGATCGCGGCGCTGCCGCGGGACAGCTGCCCGGTGAGGATCCGGAACCGCTGTGTGCTGACGTCCCGCCCTCGGGGGGTCAAGCGCCGCTGGAGGCTCAGCAGAATTGTCTTCCGCCACTTCGCTGACCACGCTCAGATGTCCGGGGTACAGAGAGCCATGTGGTAATCATCCCCACGTGGACGTGCTTTCAGGCAGATGAAACAAACCAGGCTCGTTTGTGTGGGTAATTAAAGCAAGACTGTCCTGCCTCAGAGCCCAGCATCAATGTCAAACTAATAAGGGAAGGATGAGAAGTTGTGCTGATTCATTAAACTCGCTGGATTACAGTTGGTATCAGCTGACAAGCAGCAGCACAACTGCACTGAACTGGTGTGTGTGAGAGGCAGTTTGATTGTGAGAAAAAAAATCAGTACGTGATGGTTGCAGAACTAAGCTGAGGTTTGTGGTATGGGCAATATAGAAATAAAGACATACAGCACAAGGCTTGTTTAAGCATTTTTTTTGTTGCCATCATAGGGTAAGTTCATCATGGTAATTTGGGTAAAAGCATCAGTAAAACTGCACAACAGGACAAAGTGGTAGTCTGCTGTGAACAAGGGCAAGCACAGAGTGGGAACAAAACATGGCCTCGAGTTGAGATGCTCTTGCTATGCTAACTCAATATACACGTGTATTAACGAGCAGACAAAGTGGCTAAAGGACCTGTTAGGAACTACACTGTGCTGGTATTTCTCCTGTTGGCAGTGCAGTGCTCAGTCCCGTGCTTCAAGAACAAGGTGGCAAGGAACCCTAGTCCAGACCCTAACAGGAGAGAAATGGCTTCCTTAATTCACAGGTAACAACAAATCTGTCCTTGGGAGACACATGGGAAGGAGGCAGGAAGGACACAATTAACAACAGGCTTGCTGCTAAGGTCACGTTTGCCCTGTACTCTTCTTCAAAGCACTGCAGTAAAGGGGGCACTGGCTGCTATGGCCCCTGCTCCAGCAGGGGCTGAGAGGTGGCAATAAAAAGGCCAAATACCACTAGCAGAAAACTGACAGCCACCCATCACACCCAGCTGAGTTATAGTCTGGTGTATAAACCATCTCAATATACTTACTCAATTACCTTAAAACCCTTTCAAAGCTGATGGAGAAAGTGGAGCTTATCCCTTGTTTCCAAATTTACACTGCTGGAGCCAGGGCAAGCTCCCTGTCCCTGGTCTCCTGCTGATGACTGCAGACTGCATCTTGACTGATGCCGTCTCAAAGACGGGCTCCCAGCTAGCCCAAGCACTTTGATTTCCAAAATTCATAGTAATAGTAATTAGACAGGAATAGTTTCTGAGAGTAATCATTAAATTTGAATACCACAGGATTAACACCATACTTTTTCTGCTTAACTATCAAATGCTTAGATGTTCTGCTTTGTCCAGCAGTTCTCCCTTTGTGACATGCCTTTAGTTCAGCACTTTCCCATTTTTAATCAGAAAGCTACACCCTGTGAAGTGAGCATGACACTAGCCCCAGCAAGCACACGGGTCCAGCTGCCACTGGCAACAGAGGCCTTGACCCATCCTGGTTTAAGATTCCTTTACTTTTACATTCTGTTTTCAGTCTCGCAGCACTCCCCACTCATCTGAGAGGTTTTCTCAATATACCCCCTATGCTTCACTCCTCAGGAAATGCTGAACCACTTGACTGACAGAAATGCTTTAGAAGCTATTTTATTTAAATATTTTCTCCAACCTGAAATGGAAAATGACTGTCTTTGCTTGGAAGAAGGTTATGTAAACGATGATCTTTGCAGCACAGCGTGTCTCACACGGAAGATCAGTTTTAAGGCGGCCCTTAGAGTGCTTTCAGATATCCATGGGTATGTCCCCTTTGTACTGCTTTTCTCTGCTTTCAACCCAGGCCTTATTGATGGTGCGCTTCATCTCATCGTCCCCTTCCGCATACATCTTTTTCAAAATGTTCATAAGCCCTTCACTAGGATCTGCAGTGTCATAGGCAGCCTTCCTGCAAGACAGATACATGAGAAGGTCAGGAATACCCAACAAAAGGAAGTGCTGAGGTTTGTTTGAAATATCCTGGGAATGGGACTTTTGCTTTGGCAAAGTCTTTAGATCACAGCAGTCTCGGTCAGCTTCCAAATAGGAAGAATCCTAAGAAACACCCTGAAACCAAGTGCAAGCTGAGTGGCACACCTAGAGATGTCCCAAGGAGTGGGAGAGTATTTTGATGTGAAGCATTTTGCAGTAAACGTGACCCTGGAAGCACTCCCAAAATCAGCTGTAGGAAGCAGAAGCGAAATACAGCAGACAGAGAAAATGCCAATACCCACCTTGTGTTACGTGATGGGTGAATAAAAATGGAGAAATTACCAGATCAAGCTCTTTGGACAGACCACATTCACAACCCAAAAGGCTTTTTTAATGCTTCCCATTTTTCAAATGATCTCCTGAGGTCAAGTGATTTCTTAGCACATTTCATTTGAAAGCAATTTTCTCAGGTGATGAACAGTGCCACCCACAGTCAGCACCCATGGAGGACGTGGCCTGTATGACCCGACTATAAATAATGCCCTCTCTATCCCATTTTCCAAAATCCTGTAGGTAGTAATGCAGTCTAGCTCAGAAACAGATCAGCAGAGGGAGCAATTTCCTCATGCTCAGGGATAATGATCGGCTGCCCAGACCCTGGCTGGGAGCAGCATTTCTGGAGCTGCTCGTCTGACAAACAGGAAATCTTCGGGAATTCTCTGCACAAGATACAGGTCTAACAATTCCCCATCCCTCCAGAAAACTGCATTAATTATCAAGTCACTTCCTCTAAATCTCCTGTGATGCCATTTGAATGGACAAGGCTGTTTTGCCCTAAATTCAGGTACTTACACCTGATCAGTTTTAGCAAATCACCCTAAAAACGTACACAAAATGAATTGTTGTTGGCAGGGATAAAATTCTCAGTTGTGTTCTCATTCTCCAAGGTGGTTGTACATGTAAAATAACATTAAGTCATTATATGATATACGTATTTTATACATATATATATATAAATTATATATTATATATTTTAAAAGGTGTCCCCAGATGTTTCCTGCTGTCATTTACCAGCCTCATACCTGTGTACGTCTAAGCTGCCTGCTGCTCCCAAGCACTTGAAGTGTTACAAACTGGCTTGAGACTTTGGAAAACCATCTAAGAAAACAAAGACCTGCTTTGCCAAAAACAGCCCTAAAACAACACAGAGAACAGGAAATGGATAACAAGATGGAGGGTTGAAAAGACACTTACTCTTTCTCTTTGCTTTCTTTTTCCACTTGAGTGAGACAATCCCATTTTTCCTCCCGCTTCTTCTTACACATGACAAGGATCATGTCTGTCTTTATCTGTGTGGTGAACAAGGCATGAATTCAGAACGCTTCAGAAAGGGATGCCAATCAAAATGAGTCAGGTTAGCTTGTAACATAAGCGGCTTCCATACTCACAAATTCCTGAAACATTTCTCTCAGCTATCCATTATTATGTAGCATAGGAAAATTATAGCATGTCCTCAGCCTCAGGGTACAAAGTATTAAGTCCACTGTGGAGAATTTATATATGTGGTTAATACAATACTGGTACAGGCTTACAGTACCAATACAGAAGAACATTAAGTGCTGCAGGAACACCATCCAGTGATTTGAAGGATGCTCAAGCACCAGGACTGCCTGGTAAAGTGTGACTATATTTACTGGACTTCTCCAAGCATACCAAGCTGAGGTAGAGGCTCCTCCAATTTATTTCTCCAAGGACAAGAAACTAGTTTTAGGGTATTGCTTAATCTTGCAACATGTTTGCAAGATACAAAGCTTGCTGACTTGCAACCCTGACCTAAATTTCACAAAGAACTCCTGCCTGCCACAGCAGACAAGGGTCCACAGCAGCTTTAGCTTGGCTTAACAAGTACATGACCACTGCTCGCTTTCGTACTGTATTAAAAATCACCAGAGCATCACTCTCATTTATTCCAGCTGGTTTAGTTTCACTCTGTACTCATTTTAGGCCAATTTCCAATTGAAGCAGTAGTTCTCACATCTGATGTCACCAAGCACCACAGAGAACTCACAGGAGGTGTGTGACACATCTCAGCCTGGACAGGTGCCACAAGCAGCGCAGTGTGGATATCACCAGCCAGCAGCAGCACAATGTTACCAGTTGTCCTGGTTTTGGCAGGGATAGAGTTAATTTTTCCCTTAGAAAATTAACAACCTGCTGGGGTTAAACCACCACACCAGTGCTCAGTTCTGGAGCAAAACACCCTTACTAAGGCAGAGCAGGTTCCAGACTTGGCTTTGGGAATTAAGCCTATTTAAGCTTCCCAAGATTTCAGTCTGGGAAATCAGCTTAAATCTCTTAAAATTGCAAAGAATTTCTCAGAGGTATTTAAAAGCACAAAGCTGCAATGAACACTTGGCGGAATTTTCTGCTTAATTATTTCTGAAATCCTACTGGTGAGCTATTAAATATCCAGACATGATCTCCTGAAATAGGATTCCAGAGACTAATTCTGCAGTTATGACAATCACAGATTAGTAAGACTCATGTTCATAGTGCAGAGACACAGCAGCAGAAGGGAGAGACTGAACATTAGCATGGAGTCTCCTGAACTAACCAGGCAATGAACACAATACTGAGAGGGCCCTAAATCACCTCTAACAAGGTGCACTGACCTTTCTAGAGCTGCCTTCCACAGAGATGGGCTTCAGGAGGTTGTTGAAGGTCATGGTGTAGTTCTTCCCATTCAGATTCTTCACCAGCAGATCAAATGACCTGCAGCCAGGAAGTGGAGGGAGGAAAGGCACAAATATTCCAATCATTACACTGTCTGAAAAGCCTTTAGCAGGTGTATTTCTTAGGAAAGCAGAGTACTTCTTAGGAAAGCAAGCCAACAGGCTTGAATTACTTTATTTCCAGGCCTCTCAAAATCTTCAGATCAATTTTAACAAAGGAATTAAAAGGAGCAATCCAGACTCACAACAAATCAAGATCTTTAGGATCCTTTCTACCTACAAACTTGGAAAACCAAATTTCCTCAATGTACACCTCAGCTGTATCACCACGAATATCCAGGGCTAACACTGGGTGCCTGATCAAGCATGGTGAGGTGCACTTGTAAAATGAAAACACCCTGATACCCTCAAGTGCTACTAAAAGCCAATACAACTGAAGTTAAAAAAAAAAAAAGAAAAAAGGGAGTGGAGAAAAAAAAAAAGGCTAATCCAACACTCCTGCATTTCAGTATTCATGTTGTGCTACAAGATGAACTCACCTCTCTGTGAAATTCACCTGCACATTCTCAGCTGGAAGCTTCTGGACACCATTTAAAGAGATGTAAATCTTAACAAACTTATCTGACTGATCCCATCCTGGAAGTGAAAAAAAGATATTAAGTTCTACCTTTCCTCCATATGCTTCATGCACTCCAACCTCCCCCACAAAGCCCCCTAGAACAATGAGGGTCTTTTCCTTACTGAAGCAATTTTCAGAGCAATAAAAGGAAAATATGAATTATTCAGAAATAACTTGAGAGCAATGGGAGGTCCCCCCATGTAGCCCTGCTCACTAATCCCTGCAAATTCTGAGAAAACCCACGTATCAGCTCAGGTCAAAAGAGAGCAACCCGGGCTGTGCAGGGGGAGTCAGAGCCAGCTGTTTGCTCCCACTGCAGTTTCCTTGACCCAATTCTTCCCCTACTCCCTGCATCTTGAGCAATTCCCTCTCCTCTCACCTACATGGGGAGCAGAGAAGCCAAAGCTTACTCTTTCATTCCTGCTAAACAATGGAAAAATACCAGCTGGTACAGCAAGGATACTTCATGCATCCCACCAAACACTATCACACAAACATGATGAATACACACTGGGGTTCAGATGGCAAGAAAGCACGTGGCAGCTTTTAAACTGGGGTCTCCAGCGTGGAATAAATACTGGAGATGTGCTTAAGGCTTCACTATGTTGCTAAGTAGCAACTCTAATTCCCAGTAATGCCACCCTGCCATCTCTTCAGAGAGGTGCTAGAGCTCCAGAAAAAGAATCCTACCGTAATTGTTTATTTTCACTGTGTACCCTCCCAGCGATGACTTTTCTTCATCTGCCACATCTTTTGGCTTCGGTGGAGGCTGATTCTTGATTTCCAGCTCCAGCTTTTGTTTCTCTGCCAGAAGGACATCACGCACCCGCTTCCTAGTGGCACTCGTGAGCAGCTCTTTAACCTCTTCCAAATCTTTCTGCAACTGGTTCAAAAACAAAGGATCACAAGTACACATTAGATATGTTTTTTGTATTCAGTGCTCACAGCTTTTTATGACATTTTCGCGTATTCCAGATGCTGGAATTTCAGCTTTATCAGGTCAGTAGTTTAGCTTCCCACTACAACCAGTTAAGCACGGATTCATCCCTTCCTCACCCTCTGTCCACCCCTGTAGGTATGTATAACCATAAAATCCTAATTCACAGAATGGGTCTGGCTGGAAGGGTGCAGCTCCCCTGCTCAACCACGGCCATCTCAGACTGGAAAAGACCTCCAAGACCATTAATTCAGACAAGCTTTAAGCTCTCAGTGCTTAACTCTTCATACATTAAAAACCAGCAGGAATCAGAAGCTGGGCGGACAGCACAGCTCCCTCAACACGCCTCGCCGCAAGGTGAAACCTCGGCAGCCCTCAGCGAACGCGGGGACTGACGGCTCCCAGCCGGGGCCCCACCGCTGCCCCTGGCCCAGGACCCCGCCTGCACCCGGGGGACGCAGTCGGGAATCGCCTCACCTCCTCCCGCGCCACGGCCATGGCGGCTCCCCGCGGAACCTCTGGAACCTTCCGGCCGCGGGAAGTGACGCGCGGCCGCCGGCCCCGCCCGCTCCCGCCCTGAGGAGGCGGCACCCGGAGCTTCTCCCCCCTACCCTCGGCTCTGAGGGACGGGCGGAACCCGGAGCTTCTCCCTCCGCTGGGCTCTGAGGGACGGGCGGGACCAGGATCTTCCCCGCCCCCTGGGCGCTGAGGGACGGCGGGACCGGGGGCTTTTCCCGCCCCGAGGATTCTGAGGGGCGGGTGGGAGCAGGATCTTCCTGCCCTCGGCCTCTGAGGGACGGCCGGGGACAGGAGCTGCCCTCTCTCCTGGATTCTGAGGGACGGGCGGGAGCAAGAGCTTCCCCACCCCGAGGACTCTGAGGGACGGCCGGGGCAGGATCTTCCTGCCCCCGAGGATTCTGAGGGACGGGCCGGGGCAGAATCTTCCTGCCCCCGGGCTCTGAGGGACGGCCGGGGACAGGAGCTGCCCTGCTCCGGCCTCTGAGGGACGGCCGGGGACAGGAGCTGCCCTGCCCCTGGGCTCTGAGGGTCGGTGGGACCGGGGCTTTTCCCGCCGCCCGGGCTGCTCGGTGTGAGGGGCGGCTGAGGCGGGCACGGGCTGGGTTTTAGTTTGGCCATCAGAAATCTGCCCCTCATTTTGGAGCAGATGCCCCATCGCTCGTGGCTGTCAAGGTCCTGGATTAATTTTGCAAAATAAAGTGTTGTTTTCCTTCTTCGGGAAAAGAGTATCAGGCTCATGTTGTGGAGGTGAATAGTGATCAAAGGGGAAGAAAGCTCTGTTGGTGGCCTTCAAAGGAAGTTGGGCTTATAAAAAGTGTCCTGTTCTGTGTCTGCTCCTCATTTTCATGGTTACTAAGGTTGAAAAGTCCTCCCCAATCAACTCCAGCAAGGTTTAAGCTTTCAAGTTCTAGCATTGCATCTATTAAAAAAAACAAACAAACCACCAAATCCAGTAGAAGTTGGGTGGATGGTACAGTGCCCTCAACACACACCACCACAGAGGGAGATCTGCACAACAAATGCATAAAAATCTTTTTACAACCAACCCAGGGAGTAAGTTACTGTTGGGAAATTGTTCCTGACCTGTAATGTGACAATGTGTACTCTGGGAGTGACTTTGTGAGTAAGAGACTCGGTTATCAAACCATTTGCAAGGAAAATGTAGCTTTTATTTACAGACCATTTGGCTGTATGCATGTAAAAACATACTGGTGTAATGCTACCAAAGTTCTCTTTTAAGCATTTTCCTTATCAAAAGAAAAACATGACTGTTGACACTGTTACTAAATGAGCGCAGTGAGCACCAGCGACAAAATTTCTATAAAATTTCTATAGCCCCACTGGGCATTAAAATTGCCCTGGAAGAAAACAATAAGGCAATGGCATTCCTTCTCTCAGCAGGAATGCACAGGAGGCAGTGTTTGCCCCAGATGTCCTTTATAGACAGTGTGACCCAAGGCAGATCACAGCCCTTCAGCACTGAAAAATCCCATTTCTCTAGAACAAGGTGCCAGTTAAAACACCTGTTTTACCAAACTGAAGAATGTCAGCTCTTTTGCTGATACATGGGCTTAGGGTCTGGGTTTTTGTCACTTCTAAAGTGAACATCCAGGAATTTATCTGTAAAGAGATCTGTAAAGGTAGCGAGGGAAGAAGAAATTGAAAATGAATTCATAGAAGTCCCGAAGCCAAAGATTTATGTTCAAGTTGGCATTCCCCAAAGTGGTTTTAACAGATGTTGTACTGAGGTGTTTATTATAACCCTCTGCTGCAGTGCTTCAGGATCTGCAGTGGAGAAAACCTCTGCAAAATTAACTGTGGTTATTCTAAATTTTCATAGGACTAAGCATAAGCCTGACCATCTTCAGGAATATCATTTGGAGACAGGATAGTTGATGTTATCCAGAAAATACAATATGGTCAGCTGGAATTTACTTTTATGGCATAGTTTTGGTTTTTTTTTTTTTAATTGGTTAAGGGCAGTTGCTTATACAGGAGTTATTTCCTTATATTTTTTTTCTATGTAGCAGCAACTGAGACAAGGAAATAATTTTTGTTTTTTAATTTAGCTACTAATCTTTGAGTTTCCCCACACTCAGTTGTGGTCTTGTATTAGCAGGTGCTCTTATTTTTACAATTTAAATTGGTATTGCTTTCTAATTTAAGTTCTACCTAGAGGAGGAAATGCTTTCGTTAACATAGAAATGCATTTGAAGTGAGCCTGTAATTTACTTTTTTTCTTAAGTTTTTGGAGTTTTGAAAGTGTTTACTTGGTTTCCTTAAATGATGAGCATTTCTGTACACATGGCACTTTGAGTGGCAGCCTCCATGTGGAAGAGTTGTCACTCCTGTCATGTAAAAACAAGCTCCACATAGCTCTCCTTTGCAGGAAGCTGCAACAGCATCTGGATGCTGCCTCCTCTCCTGACAAACACTTTGGATAGTGATGTGGAGGTAAATCCATACAAAATGTTACAGCTGGTAAATTTAAATCTTCAGCTTTTGTCCCTCTTTGCCTTATCTTCCCCTGAAGTGCCGTGTGCTTTTGCTCTTATCTGGGAACAACGGCGGCTCTTCTCAGTTAATGGGAAATAAATCCTGGAGCGGTTGCTCACGTGGAAAAATGGTTTTATAAAGCATTTGGATACTTTTGACTGCGGCACATTCTGCTCTGTCCCGTCCTTGCTCAGCCCTGCCTTTCCCCTAGCAGTCACTTGCCAGTTTCTCTGTTTCCTTTGCCCCCCTTGTCTCCTGCTGCAGGCACCTGCCTCAAGGCTGCTGTACTCCACGGAAGCATGCAGTCCCTTAACAGCCACCATTATCCCACTGCTGTGTATCATCAACCTTTAGGGAAAACATTCTCTGTCCTGGAAACCTCTCTGCTGGCCTGTGGAGCAGAGACCAGGGTGAGCCCTCAGCTCTCAGGCACAGCTCCCTGTGAGCAGGGACATTATCCTAAGGAACGGGCTGGAATTAGCATGCACCCCCTTGGACAGCCAACCTGCCAAGTCACTGTGCCCTGGTGCAGCAGAGAACTGCGTCAGAAAACCTGACACAGCAGCTGCTTCTTCCTGCAAACAGATTTAAGCTGCTTCTTAATGGCTTAGGAAAATAAGCATCTTATCCCCGAGCTGTTTTCCATTTCCATTTATTTTACAAGGCATCGTTCACACAATGATAACAAGGTACTGATCTGAACAACTCTGTAACAATTAAAAAAGTAAACATTTGTTGTGACCAGGTACATTGAATTGCACTTTTAATAACAAGCATTACACTTATATTTTCATGTTGTACTTTATATAACACATGGATGCGTTACCCAAGTAGTGGTAGTACTGAATGGTTCTCAGCTGGAAGTGTGACATCTCTATGATGCTCTTTTTTTCCCTAACTCTTTGGGATTTGTGAACTTGGTACCCACCCAGATCACAAAGGCAACCCCAAATCTGGAAAACTTCATTGTCATGGAGTCAGAGCTTTGGAGCTGCTCTGTTTTCAGTGTGCTGGAGCAAATCCACCTTAATGGCAGACACAGAGGGAGATGGATTATGCTTGATTAGAAATTTTCTGCATTCAGATGTCATCTTTTCCCAGTTCAAAGAAGCCAGAGCATCTTCTTCCATGGGAAAGCAAGAGTTCCCAAAGCTCAAGAGAGCTCCTGGCACAGCTTTCGAGGGTGATACAGCAGAATTGCAAACCCAGGGATTACTGAAAGACAGAAATTGAGATCTGAAGAAAAATCTGGGAACATCTGCTGTGGTTTGCATTGGTAGTACCATCCATGTATTATATAAAATACAAAAATAAGAGAAACTGTAAGGAAATTAGTACAGCCCAGGATTCTGGTGGTATCAAATGAAATTTGTGATACCAAATCCTTTTGATGTATTTATCCCCTTGTCGTTCTGTTTCTTATATATTATTCTATATGTAAGATATAGTTCTCCAAAGATACATATATATTCCTTTACAGGTTAAATAAAAGCAAGTCACACTGAATAAGAAAATAATAAAAAGTAATATCCTAATTCTGTACCCTTTTTTTTTTTCAGGTAAAAATAGCATGAAATACATTCAGTAGCAAAGCCATTGGGACCCAGGAGAAATGGAGAGCCCTGTATTCCTGGAGAATTGACCTGTATGTGTTAAGTCACAATCCTGAAATAAATTGTGTAGACTTCTGAAATAGGAAGGATAAAGTCTTGATAAATGCTGAGCATTATTTATCCAGTTGCAAATTCCTTGCATTTCCCAAAATCCACCTGTGTAGCTCAGTTCTAAAGGCTGCTGTGACGTACACCTCCCCTAACACCTGAGAGATCCAAACTGGAGTGTTTCATCATGCCTCCCCTTGGTGTTGTTACCTGGAAGGAGCTAACGGGACAGTTCCCAGGAGGATATTAGCATGACAGACAAACAAATAAATTAGTTTTAACCTCTTTGTTTGCACATGTGGTGCAGCCCCCTCAGCAGGGTCCAGCAGGGACAGGGAGTGCTTGTCAGCCACAGGAATCCCTCAGACCCGAGGGGAACATCTCTGCCCTCTCTTCACAATCAATCAGACACGACACTACGGTTTTCTCTCCAGCAGCTGGAAAACCACCAGCACTGTAAGGTATGAGTGCTTCTGGTATCAAAGCCAAGGGTGTTTAGGCTTAGGAGATGGTGCAGAAGTTGCCAATTATCCCTGAGTCTAACAGTAAATGAAAATCCTCTGAGTAAATGAAAATCACCTGATTATAGTTCTCCCACACATACAAGAATTTCACTGCAGCTACTTAACAAAAGGAAGGGAACAGCCCCACCTTGATCCTGTGGAGAAAGCATGGCATGTGACTTCCAAGTGTTGATACTTTGGTGCCAGTAAACGCAGATTTTTATTTACTCCTAAACTACCACATTCAGTGGCATCACGACCCTGAAGTCAATGGGATACTTCATGCTTTGTGAAGGGGCTGAACTCTTGCAGTTCTTGACTTTTTATCTCCATCTCCCCTTGTAAATTGCTGGCTTCATTTCAAGTTGTTCTTAACACACTGGCAGAGATGATCATTTATCTTCAAAGAAATTTCAAGGGCCAACTAAGAGTAGTAATTCAAACATC